ATTGTTCGAATGGAATAAACAAAATTGTATCACAATATCCAATATCGCACAATTCCGATCCCATACCGAACAGAGTATTACCGGAATTTCTTTGGTTGGCTTTACTCTCCACTCTCAAAAAAGTGTTAAAACTTGAACCTGTCTCGAAATAAGTTGCCTACAATGAATAATTGGTAATTGATTGATTGCCCAATATTGCTGTATAGAAATGTAAAAATCTGTTGCTTTTGCGAATTATCATTCGATCAAAGTTGGCTCCAAAGTATTTACAAGTTGACAACTGACATGAAAAACTTAATTTTCAAAGTCGTATTTCAATCATTCAAATTGCAAAATCGAAGCGTGATAGAGTGAAATTTACAAAATTCATCAGTAAAAACAGTAAATTGAAAGATGGATATTTCATATGATGAAGATCCGGAGGATAATGCTCTTCTGATCGCAAAAGAATTTGAAAGACTGGTAGAGGAAAGTTTGATCTACCGAAGTAAGTAAATTTATGACATTTTTTTGTCATTTTTTCCAGTTTTCGTTTCGTTTATTATCAAGATCGCACCGGGTATGCTTATCGTGGAGATCCCAATGCTTATGTGCCCGGCCAAGCTTTGGTGCCCGTTCGAACTGTGGCCATTACTGCGAGAGATTCTTTATGTAGATTTGTCATTGTTATGGGGGGAGGAAATGACGACGAATTTATAGATGATGAGATCGAAGTGTTACTGGAACGCAACAATAACAAAGCTGACATTTTACAATTTCAGGACAATGTAAACGCATGCATTGCGAAATTCAATGAACTTATCAAAGGTAAGCACACCGAAGAAAACGTCGAAAAAGTAGTTCAAAAACATTTCAATTTACAATGGTTTCTTTAAAAAAATGTTTTTTTTTGCAGGTGAATTTTCTTTGATTTTTCATGAAGAGTACGGCATTTGGATGCATGCTACCATCATTTCTCTCGAGCTCTATAACTCTTGCGACTACGAAGCCACACATTATTTTGGATATCGTATTGGAAAAGCGCCACGCAATTACCAACGTAATTGTATAGTATCACCGCGTAATGTTCGTGTTGATAGTATGCGCAGCTGTCTGTGCGGTGCACGTTTACCAATGTTAGAATTCGAAGCGCACAGAGATCCAGCAGTTCATCTCGGATATGCGTTAACAAGAAATTATCTATGTTTTTTGGCGAATTACGAAGGTTTTTTTTAGATATATTTGAAATCAAACACAAAATGCTAAGATTTTATATTCTTTGAAGGTATTGAGGCTACTGTTCATGGTCAAAAAGCCAAACTCGTGGACGCTTGCAGGCCGTGGACAGATGGAAATGTTAAATTTCGACTCAAAATGATGAACAGTCGGAATGAAATTCAAGAAAGCTCACAAAACATCTATTTGGGGCATTATCAGTGCAAAGTCTGTCGCAAAGTCCTCTCTACTGATGAAATAGAGAATCATTTGGAAATCCATTTTAACGAAATACCGGATCTAGAAAAGAACGCGACTCCATTTGCTATATTAGCAAAAAATGTTTCCGAGAAAGTGGACCAATTTTTCGACATTTTTGAACGGGAATTGAAAGGTTAGCAGTGCTAACTTAAGATTCATAAAATGCTGGATGAAAATAGTAGCGAATTTTGAAGACTTTATATTTTCTCTTTATATTTTTGCTAGACCAAGATGCTATATTTTATCAAAATGGATGGAGCCTTGTTACACTGACGGCTCTTAGAATGTCCGAGTCTGGTGGTGCATCTTACCTCATACGAAAATCTGATGGTATTCACGAATGGGTGACAACAGCAAATGTCCGCTTTGATTATCAGATCAACATAGATGGCATATATGCGCCTGTGTTTAAAAGAAGAGATGATCAGGAGCGTTATAAAGCAATCTTTTAAATAGATCCAGCGAAAATTCTAAAATACAATTTAGTGTTTCACATTTTTATCTTTCAAAATTGTTTATTCTGATTGATCTGAGCTTATGGGGAGATGCTGGATGCAATATTTTCCGAAAGTCGTCATTGTTATGCCAACTAAACAGAAAATGTTTGTTTCCAAATAAAAATAGTAGGCATTGCAACTCAAATTCGGTTGTATCACTTTCAATATATCATAACAATGATGGGCATTCCATATATTTTTAACAATTGTTCTATGTATTCTATGCATTTCTATGGGTCGTGAATCTATTTTCAAAAATGATTTACTTTCGTTTTACTTCTCCATCAACCAATATGTCGAGCCAATTTTTCATTGCAAGTAACACATTTCGCAGCAAAATGAAGACAGTTGTTCAAATTTTTGCACTTTTTCAACAGAGCACAGGTACTGGAGTAAAGCTGACCAAAATTCCGGTAAGGGATCGGAATTGTGCAATATTGTAATACAACATTTGTTAATTCCATTCGAACAATGGAATGAAAAACAACATCTACCATCATTGGGGAATGATATACGGTAGATGCATTCATCTGATTTCATTTTTTAGGTGAATTTTCTGTTTGTATTTCAAATGTTACAAAATATGAAAATTAAACCAAGTAGAAAAATACATTGACTGCATTCGTAACAGTGTAATACTTCTCCACACACAGTACTGGTACTGTGTTGTGCAGCGCACATAGTGCACAAAAGTAGCCGTTCATGATTGGATTAGTATTCTCACTTTGATTTTAAATCGCAGGATACTGTGCATTTGATCACTATTATTTGTTGACTTTGAAAAGATTTGAAACATTTTTAGTAGACAACAGTGAAGCAAGTTCAATTCCAATCAGTTTTTTTTTTCATTGTTGAATAAAGTCTATAAAACAGTAGGTGAAGCAAGAACTTTGAAAATTTTCTCAACACACCAAGTTAGAAGAAACCAAAATTTCGGTCGTAATGGATAGAAGGGACAAATTAATTGCGGATTTAGGAGCAGATGATGATGCAACTATTTTTAGGTTAGTTGAAAAGCGAAAAGATGGCAAACGAAATTTGGACGCTGCTGACAGACGGAATCGACATTTTCATCGTGACCGATCAGATCTGTACGATCGCACTGACAGGCTCAACGAAGCAAAAGCCGAATTTGCTGAAGCCGATCTATTCGAAAAAACTGCTGATAAACTAGAAACGATGGCTGCCATAGATCGCAGAGATGGTAGTCGCAATTTACACGCTGCTGCTCTAGAACGGGGAGATAGAAAACGGCACCATACACGAATTTCTTCGTCGGGTAGTAGACGTCGACGCGTCGACCCACTTGATGATCAACTTGATGGCCGTTTTGGTGGTCGTTTTGATTTTGATCGTACACGAGAAACACAAACGCCCAGAGTCAGGACACGTGATTCGGGCTCCAGACCACGAAACCAAAGACAACGCTCAAGATCATCTGGCAGAGATAATAGAAGACCTTCATATCGATGTTAGCGAAAAAAAC